TTCATCTGTTGGCTCTCTATTCTGTTCCATACATCTACCTCTCTATTTTTGTGCCAGTACCATGCTGTTTTGCTCACTATGGATTTGTAGTATAGTCTGAGGTCTGGTAGCGTGATTCCTCCTGCTTTGTTTTTCTCTGTATCTTTCAATTGGAGAATTTAATTCATTTACATTTAAGGTTATTATTTATAACTAAGGCCATTTTGTAGATCCTTTGTTTTTTCTTCCTCTCTTGCTGTCCTCTTTTTTAATTTGATGATTTTCTGTGGTAGTGTGTATTGATTCTCTTCTATTTTTTTAATGTATTACTAAGGCTATTTTTTCCTTGGTTACAATGAAGGTTACATAAAACAGTTATAGCACTCTATTTTAAGGTTATAATAACTAAACATCAATCACATATAAAACTCTATTTCTCCTTCTTCCATAGGTTATGCTATTGATGTCACACTTTACATCATTTTATATTGTATACCCATTAACAAATTATTGTTGCTGTAGTTGTTTTAATACTTTTGCCTTTTAATTTTTATACTGTAGTTAAAAGTGATTTATGTACCACAATTACAGTATTACAGTATTCTGAATTTGACTGTGCATTTACACTTACCAGTGAGTTTTATACATTCATTTTCATCTTTTTACTTAGTGTGCTTTATTTTCAACTTGAAGAACTTCCTTAAGGATTTCATGTAAGGCAGGTCTCATGTGATGAATTCCCTCAGATTTTGTCTGGAAATACCTTTATCTCATCTTTATTTCTGAAAGACAGCTTTGCTAGGTACATTTTCTTGGCTGACAGTTTTTTTATAAGACTCTTTTAGTAATTTTCATATGTCATTCCATTCCCTGCTGATCTGTAAGGTTTCTGCTGAGAAATCTGCTGATAGTATTAATGGTGTGGTAATAGTGGGATAGGAGAATGACAAGGGGATCCCTTATATTTGATAACTTGCTTTTCTCTTGCTACTTTTAGAAGTCCTTCTTTGCCTTTGACATTTCACAATTTCATTGTAACGTAGTTCAGTATAATCTTTTTTGAGGCATTGAGCTTTGTGAATTTAGATGTCCAAATCTTTTCCAAGATTTCGGACATTTGCAGGTACTGTTCTATGTCTTCTGTCTATTTATTTCTCTGTTCTTCTTTTGGGAGTCCCATCATGTGCATATTCATTATTTGGTCCTTAGGCTTTTGTCACTCTTTTTCTTTTTTCTTTTTGTTTTTCTAACTGACTTATTTCAAATTACCTCTTATTTCACCAGTTTTTTTCTTCTGCTTGATTGAGTTTCCTGTTGAAGATCTCTGTTGAATTTTCTCAGTTCTTTTGATGTTTTCTTCTGCTTTAGGATTTCTTCATTATTTCTTTATTAAACACTCACTTTGTTCATCCGTTTTCCTGGGTTTTGTTTACTTGCCTTTGTTCTCTTGAAGCTCAGTGAGCTTCTTTAAGATATTTATTTTGAACTCTTTGTCAGTCAATTCAATGTTGT